TGTGTGTATGTGTGTATGTGTGTGTATGTGTGTGTATGTGTGTATGTGTGTGTATGTGTATGTAAATGTATATGTATCTATGTGGACAAGTTGTGGGAGTCAACAATTTTGTGAGTCTCCAGCAATTGAATGCAGGTTTCAGGCTTGGTAGCAAGCTCCTTTATCTCTTGAGTCATCTTAAAAGTCCTGGATTATAACCTCCCCCTTCCTCTTCCTCCTCCTCTTTTTCTTTTGGGGGAGCGGGGGAGGCATGCATGGCGGTCAGAAGGCAAATTCAGGGACTTGATCCTGTCCTTCCATCATGGTTCCAGAAACCAAACAAAGTGCTCAGCCTGGTACAGCTTTTATCTGAACAACCGCCTGGTGGACCCATCACTGATTTTCTTTTATCCTGGCCCAGCTAAGGATGGAGGAGGTCTGGGGGCTGCAGAAATGACTCAGTGATTAAGAGCACGGACTGCTCTTCCAGAGGTCCTGAGTTCAATTCCCAGCAACTAGCATGGTAGCTCACAATCATCTGTAATGGGATCCTATGCCCTCTTCTGGTGTGTCTGAAGACAGCTGCAGTATATTCATATAAAAAAAATAAATCTTTAAAACAAAAAAACAAAATAACTCTGAAGAGTCGGCATATCCAACCATCTTTTTCCCCTGTGCACCTGCTCTTCTGGACGGTCACCAAGTGGGCTAGGCTCCCTCTAGGCGGGTCTTTGTGGGAAGGACAGGCTCAGGAAGGAAGCCAGGGGAGAGTGGTGCTACCAGATTTCATGGCTATGAGGCATACTTCAGCTTAAGAACAGCCTGGGTTGTTGACAGAGAACTGGGTGGGTCTCATACTTGTGAAGTCAAGGAGCCCCAGAGGTAAAACACTTCACTTGGGAGCCAGAGCCTGCTAGGCACAGAGCCAAAGGCTTCCTGTTCTAAGGAATTTACCTGCTCTGCAACCCCTGCTCTTGTGGGTGCCAGGATTTGAGGCCTCCCCCTCCCCCAATCAGTGATACTGTCTCAGGGATGGAAGTAGATTCCAGCTCCTAAATCCAACGGTGCCTGACGGTAGTTTACCTTTGAACGCTCCAGTTATACATCTAACTTTTAAATTTTATTTAGTATGTGTGTGTAGGGGTAGGATTCTCTCTCTCTCTCTCTCTCTCTCTCTCTCTCTCACACACACACACACACACACACACACACACACACACCAGATAGTATTTCTCTATTTCTCTGTATAGCCTAGGCTGTCCTGGAACTCTCTCTGTAGACCAGGCTGGCCTCAAACTCATGGAGATCCCTCTGCCTCTGTCTCCCAAGTGCTGGGAGATGGGGCTTACTACTTCCGCCTCTCAAATGCTTGGATTCCCAGTATGTACCACTGTACTTTGTCTCCCCCCGACCCCCACCCCAGGGTCTCCTTACATTATAACCTTGGCTGGATTGAGGCAGGAATCCTTTTGCCTTGCCTCAGTGTTTTACTAAGAAAACAGATATGAACCATCATGCCTAGCTGGACTTAAATCAAAATTTCACTCCCCCGTCCCCCGACATTTGTTTGTTTATTTAGCATTGTGTGTGCCTGCTCTTGGAGAAGACAGCTTTTGTGAGGTTCTCCTTCCATTAGGTGGGATTTGGGGGATGACTCAGGTCATCTGGCTTGGGGACTGGAAACTTCACCTCCTGTGCCATCTCACCTTCTTTTGTTTGTCCAGGCATTCTAGGGTGTGAGGCAGGAGGATGGAGAAGTTGAGGCCAGCTTGTGCTCCATGAAACCCTGTCACAAACAAGTGAGCTAATACACAAATCCACCGTCTTCAACTCTGCCACACGGTACAAGGATAAGATAGCTCTGCTGACAGGGACAGAGGGGTGGGAGGATCTGAACCAAGCCTGGGGTCTGGTGACTGGAAGTGGCCTCCCTAATCCAGTTTCCCGTCCCCTCTTCCCGAGGTTTCAGTTACCCATGGTCAGCCTCAGTCCAAAAATGTTCAATGGAACATTCCAGATATAAATAATTCATGAGTTTAAAATAACTTTCGCTTTAAACAATTTTTAACAATGTCATACTTTGTGTCCTTATAGTTACTTAATTTGTGTGAATGTCCATGTGTGTCATTATATACATGGGTGTGTGTGTATATGTGTGTGTGTGCACACATGCGTGCACACATGGGTGTGCATGTGGAGGCCAGAAGACAACTTCAGGTGTTCCTTAGGCACTATGAACTTTAAAAAAAAATTATGCTGGGCAGTGGTGGCGCACGCCTTTAATCCCAGCACTTGGGAGGCAGAGGTAGGTGGATTTCTGAGTTCGAGGCCAGCCTGGTCTACAGAGTGAGTTCCAGGACAGCCAGGGCTACAAGAGAAACCCTGTCTCAAAAAACCAAACCAACCAACCAAACAAAACCTTTTAATTCTGTGTGTGTGTCTATGGGTGGGTATGTGCAAGCGACTGCAGGTGGCTGCAGAGGCCAGAAGAGGGCGCCAGATCACCTGGCACTGAAGTTACAGGTGGCTGTGCGCTGCCTCAAATGGGTGCAGAACAAGACTCCAGTTCTCTGCAGGAGCAGCAAGCATCCTTAACTACTGAGCCACCTCTCTAGCCCCAGTCATTTGAGTGTTTGGAGACAGGGTCTCTCAGTGGTCTGGAAACTTGCCACACATGCTGGGCTAGCAAACCCCAGTGACCTGCCTGTCCTATCTCCCAAGCAGTGGGATTATGTCCAGCTTTATATGTGGGGCTCTAGGGAGCGAGCTCACATTCTCCATGCTTTCAAAGTGAAGTGTCTTGACTGAGCCATCCGCGCCCCCTCACCGCCAGCCCTCTGTTTTACTAATGACTGTTCGCTTTTCTTCCTGTTCCTTCTTTCCTTACGTCACTTTTTGAGATGGGCTCTCACACTGTAGCCCTGGCTGGGCTTGAACTCATGGCAATCCTCCTGTCTCAGCTTCCTGAGTGCTAGGATTATAAATGTGAGCTGCTGAGCTGGGCGGTGGTGGCGCACGCCTTTAATCCCAGCACTTGGGAGGCAGAGGCAGGTGGATTTCTGAGTTCGAGGCCAGCCTGGTCTACAGAGTGAGTTCCAGGACAGCCAGGGCTACACAGAGAAACCCTGTCTCGAAAAACAAACAAACAAACAAACAAAACAAACAAACAAGCAAACAAACAAACAAAAAACAATAAATGTGAGCTGCTGCACCTGGCTTTATTAGTAGCTACTAATTTCTTACTGATCTTAGTTTGTAAAGTGGGATTTACCATCGGTGTATGTATGGAAGAGAATATGTATATGTGTGTGTGTGTGTATGAATATATGTATGTATATGGTATGTAACTTGTCTACTATACAGGTGTCTACTATATTAAAAATGTAAACTGGAAGCCAGCTATGGTGGCATAATCCTGTAATACTATGTCTTGGGAAATTAGGGCCATCTTCAGCTATACAGTGTGAGTTCAAAGCCAGCCTGGGCTACATGTCCCAATTCAAGCCATTAGGCTTGGTAGCAAGTGCTCTTACTCACTAAGCCGGCTCACTGTCGCCTGTTATTTTGTGATTTTTGAGACAGTCTTGTTCTATAGTCCCAGCCTGCCTGGAACTCATTGTGTAGCCCAGGCTGGCCTCAAACTCACTATCCAACTGCCTCTGCATCTCAATTGCTCAGATGACAGGCGTGTGTCACCATGCCTTCTCTCCAGTCCTTGTTTGGACCTCAGAAAGTGCGTTGGTTTCCTCGTTCTGCCCCAGATTCCCTTTGTATTGCCTTTATCACCCCTGCTTCCCCAGGGAGTTCCCAGATCCTCCAAGAAGGGAAGAAAAATTTTCTAGACTTAGCTTCAGCCCCTAGGGACTCTGGGAATTTTTCCTTAAGGGGACAGGACCTTGCTCCTAAGCAGACAGTGGGCCCTGGTTCACAGTGACCAGGCTGCTGCTCAGACCCGGGCGTCTCTCTTCCCGGATCAGTCAGCTGAGTCTTGTTCCATGCTAGCTCTTTCTAACCCTCTCTAGCCTGTCTCCTACTGTTCTGCTTGACATCAGACCTTTCCTGAGGGTGTGTGAGGAGGCAGCCAGCCAGCAGTAGTAGAAGGGGGAAGATGGCCTGTACCTCCCTTCCCCTTTATCCTCCTCCCCCAGAAGAGAACCTGGCCATAGGAAAGTGTCCACGTGACAGGCAGCATTTATTTCAGAGTCCAGTGTTCACAATGATGGGCAGGGGATGAGGGCAGGGATGGGGTGGGTTGGGGACTCCAGTGTCAGACTACACAGCAGGGTATCAGGTGGGGAGGGGTAGTGCCCAGCAAGGGAGACAGGAGGTAAAAATAGCCCCGGCCTGCCGACCCTCAGCGCCGTGTCCCAGGCCGGGCCCTGGGCTTGGGTCCAGGAGCTATTCTGGGGCCTGGGAGAGTTACATTCCCTGGAGGAAGGCCCCCTCCCAGCCCCCACCTCCCTCTTTCCCTCCCCAAGGCCGCTGGCCACTGTGGGTCCCTGCCCAGCAGGCAGAGGAAGGAAGGGAGGGCCGAGGCTGGAGAAGGAAGGAGGCGGAGGCGTGCTGAGGCGGAGGCGAGCTCAGAGCCGGTCCTCCGATGATGCCCAAAGTTCCAGATCCAGAGACTGCCTCTGGGAGGTCCTCAGCCTCAACACTGGGGACAATAGGGGCAGCTAAACTTGAGCCCACAAGGCTGGCCCTGCATTCAGCCGGTTCCCCATTGGACACCCAGACCATCACGCACCTCATCTCCAAAGCCCCCACTGCCACCTCTGCCTCCTCCGGAGGGTCCACCCATGAGAAGGCCTGTGTGTTCTGGCCGCTCTGACCCAGAGTGGCTCAATTCCGGTTCCCTGGATGGCCTGGGGGAAGGACAGTGGCACGGTGAAAGAGTCACTGCTAAAGGAGCTGGGAGAGGGTAGGGGTGGTCATGGCTTTGGGTTTGGTGGTAGGAGATGAGTCTGGATGCTAAGGTTGTGGATGGGTCTGAGGCAAAACTACAGTATCCGAGACCAGTCTGGGATGCTTATGGACCGAAGTTGATGATGCTGTGGGAGGTTGGAGATGAGGTGAGATGCGGATAGATTTGGCTGGCTACAGGTGACGATTGTAGAAAGACTGGGTATATAGGCAGTGTGGGGCTAGCCACAGACCAGGGGTTGTTGGGATGTGGCTATGATGACAGCTACTGGAAGCATGGCTTTAAGGAGCAGGTCAGAGTATGGCTAGCACTGGGATGCAATCAATCCTGTGTGGGACTTTGGAAAAGACAAAGTCTAATCTGAAGATGAAGTCGGGCCTCGTGGCTCTAATCCCAGCACTTGAGAGGGTAAAGAGGACTGAAAGTTCAAGGCCAACCTGGACAAAACTGGACAACACAAGAGATCTTGTCTCAAAATACTCAAAAGGGGGCTTAGGATACATGGAAAGTACCTGCCTAGAATCCCCCAGTGAGGGGCTGGGGGCGTGGCTCAGTGG